GCTTTACGACGTTTCACAGGTCCTCGCTTCTTTCATGATTACTCACCACCCTGATGATGGAGGCAGAAAAACCTCCAAATAGCCGGCATACTTCTGCCAGACTTCAAGACACAACAACCCAGAAAGAAGGCAGTCACCTTCGTACTAGCCGTCCTGAAAACATTAAATCTCACACTTCCGTGTAACCTCTACAGTCGACACAGTCTTGTCCAAAAAGCAATCACACACTAACAATCAGGGAGCCACAGGAACGGGGTATGAATTATTCAAATTGTTACTAGAACATAATTAGAATTAGAAATGAATTTCATCTACATTTAACAGCAACTTCGTCGAATTATTCTATATTAAATCTTAGTTACACTGAACACTACGGCCACGCGGTCTGAGGCATAGACCTCGTGCGCCTGTCCATTGCGACCGTGGGTTCGAGTCCCACTCAGGGCATCGATGTTTGTCCGCGTCTTTCTGTGTTTGCATAGGTAGAAGCCTTGCAGATAGGGCTGATCACTCATGCAAGGAGTTCCACCAATGTCCAAAAAATAGATCAATCATAAACCTCCAAGAGAGGTAAAACGCGGGACAAATGGGAATGAAGGAACAAAAGTTACACTGAACACGAAGTCATGAATACCGATTTACCGGAGACAGGCGCCTGAGGCCTTCCTTTAGTGGATGGTAGTCCTGTCCGTTATTGAATAAAATTACCTTTAAAACACCACACCAGACAATATGAAGGGTTCAGAGTTATCGTTTATATCACATGGTAATAACGAGTATGTCAGATGAAGACTGGTATTTAAAACTGCGCAGGGCATGTAAGCGAGCGGTCGACAATTTTTCTAATCGTATAATTACCAAGCCAGGTCCGGTCCAGTGGACACGACGGTCGCCAGCGACTGCCCAGAGCATGACCACACCTAATGGGGTACACTGAAGAATCCTTTGAATATCAAAATGATCCCCGCTCATGTATCATTAATGCACCGAATACATTTCAGTTATTACGAGGCTCATGCTTCTGAACGGTGCATGATTTTGTTCAAACTTGTTCATATCACGACTGTAGCCCCAGGAAAATTAAAAGTTACAACGACGCACTGCGGAATAATTTGTAATGACCAAGGGACTGGTGAAAACTTGATCCTCATCTTCAAGTGAGTGTAAGCCCGGAGACAAATCTTGCTGCCCCTTCATTTCGATATTCAGTACGACAATTAAAACAAACTATTACGTCCGATCCTGGGTCACGTTAAAATACAAATGCATTCACAGAAATTATTAAGACTTTGGTTAAAGTCTGCATACAGATTCGGTACAGCAGGACGGAACAATTATGTTGTGATAGCTAGTGGGTCGAATTTTAGATTTTCAGATCAGCAACTGAAGCGTGAACTTCAACAGTAGAACATTCAGCTTGAAGTCAGTCTTGCAGTGAAGCCTACATATATAAATGGAAAAAAACAAAACATATTCTGCGATTTACCTTTATATGCATGTAAGGAACATTGCAACCATTACAGCTGCATTGATAATTTTCTTTCCTTTATATTAATACAGCACGAGCAGTCAAACTTTCAGATACGTTTTGAGATAATTATTATCTCTAAACTCATCAGTCATGCATTTATTGAAGGCGGAAAAATTATTATAGACAAGAGCCGGGAATGCAAGATGGAATTCGTCGTGTTTACTGGGTTTATTCCGCGTGTTTCGTAACACCCAGTCACTTAAGAAAGACCACTTTCATCAAGGAAGCATAAAACCATTAATTGACGCAAAACTCTACATTTATTGCCCCAGGGTGTCGTCTGCCAGAAGCTTACCGACGTTTCAGAGGTGCCTGCTGCCTCCATCATCACACCGGCGCAAACTCCGATCATACTTCTGCTTATGAACATAACGCACTTACCTTTCGGTCGGCGATGTCCCTGACCTCACGCAGGAGCTGAGACGCCGGGACACAGAACTCGCACTCGAAACGAGCCAGGTTGCCGTGGAAGGTGCAAACCAGAAGGTCACGAGCTTGTCGCACCAGAATGGGACGGACTCTTGGGAAGTTTGGGTACAAGGACCCCAGATACCGCTCCACAAGTGTCGCCACATCACATTTGTTCTGCAACACAAATCACAGTGGTCATTCTAAGTTTGGCCCAGAGGCAGGTAGAGGTCGCGCGAGCAGTCGTGGCTCCTAAACGCGCGGTGCGTAAGCCGAGAGAGGGGAGTTCGGTAGTAGTGGGGGTCGCACAGCCTCAGCTGCGGTGACGCACCGAACTAAACAAAGCTTGAGCTACAAACCAACTGAAGCTGGCACCCCTCGAGCGCGTGCTTCGGACGGGTCTATCTCATGAGACCAAAATCAGTCCTTCGCGCAGGTGACAGCATTTCTTGCGCGACCTCTACCATTCAGAATAAGGTATTTTACCTTCGTGTCTCCTGTAATAAAATTTACTTACTCTTTCTAGGAAAATGTCTTTAGAAAGTTGGTACGGCGGCATCTTGGAATGACTAAGGAGAAACAAACATTTTGCGCGATGTGTGCTGAGATGTTAACACGTTTTCCCGTTATTTTCTTAAAGAAGTAGTGTCAAAACGGCAAAAATAAAATAAATTTCACTGCTAACTCAATGTCTTTAGAACAGGTAGTACAGCGTGAGTGTCACACGAACGACAGGATGATTGGTGGGGGGTGTTATTTGCCTCGCCTCTCAAACATCGTGCAATTGGGTGTAAGTATAGTCTGGGAGACTGGATTACGACCATTCTGCACGTGCTACGTTGCAAAATAGCACCGGAAATGAGGTCACAGGAAGTGCACAACAGATTGCAGCTTCAGCACGTAGGACACGCCGAAGAAAGGCGAAAGCCCGGAGAGACCAGGCGTCTCACGCAGCAGGGCCGCGGGTGGTGGCCTCTATATTTGGATTTCAGCACTGCAGGACATCAACCCTTAGCTTGACAGCGCTGGTAATAACAAGGCAGGCTCGTTACCTTCCGGGTTTCAACTCCGGTTCTGCTGCATCGTTGTCATGTTCCTCTTGTGATCTCTTAGGTAACGTCCATCGCAAGAGAGATGGGACTGCAATTACAAGTCCTGGGTAATCCAACCCTGTATCCTACAAATGTTTTTCACCTCACAAATTACAATTCCTTCGAGGTATACGCTAAAGATTCACGGTGAACTTAATTTTGGTGTTGCTGGTCCAATGAAACTACCAGATAAATGTCTGTATTTTCCTGGAGGAACTGCGGAAAATCAGAACAAATCTCGATCAATACAGCTGGTTCCTAGCGGAGATCTGAACCCGAGACTTCCCGACTACAACGCAGCAGAGGTTCTAACCACTCGCAAAATACGGAAATGATGTTTCATTAAAGAGTACAGATGAATTAAATTTGTAGACCAACACCAGAACTTCATGTTCTTAATTTTTCTAAAGGTGTTTAACACATTCAAGACATTTTGGAGAGATTGTGAACAATTGCATGTTTGTAAGGAGTGTTATTAGACTCAGAACGAAGTTAAAACACACAGTCCCCAGAAATGCATTCGTTACGTACATGCATTACAAACTTGTTGCAGGAATGGGCACCAGGCCCTCTGCCCCTGACAAATTTCGTTTCTATAGCAACAGTCAGCTTTTCTGCAGTGGCTCAAACATTACGAGAGCCAATATTAATGTCGATTAGGAATTTATTACCTTATAGACAAGCGATTTGAGACGATCAATCAGCTGGTCCGCACACACACAGGCTCATCAAAGCGAATTCCGCAAATGGACCGTTCCACTAAGCCGTTCGCTCACGCTGTATTTTTCCCTTCTTACGAATTTGATATTAGAAACGATAATTCAAATGCACAGAAAGCTAAACATTTGACTGATGCATTTTCTATTCTGAATGAAAAATGTCATCACAGATTGATTTCATTAGCGATGAATAAGAGAGCAAAGGAGACGGAGTGGAGCTCACCAACTGATGGTCTACGCTGACGGCGCTAATCTGTTGCATGACATAATCATCATATAAGGTAGATCATAAAGCCTTTGAAAATACGACATCCTAAAACTCATTCACAAAAGAAGTTAGGAGAAAATTAAACTCCAAAGATGCTACTTCGACCACAAGACAGTTTAATTATTTTCTGGTCTAACATCTAAACAAATGATGTTTTGTGTGGGTGTCAAACGTGGTCTGTCACGTTTAGGGGCTCCACACACCGAGTGTGTCAGGGGATATTTTGTAATAAGACTGGGAAGAGAGCAGATTAACATTTTGAACTGATTAAATATTCGAATGATGAAATCAAAAGGAATGAGGTGGGCGGGGCATGCAGCACGCACTGGGTGTGTGATTGTGGACCAGATTCATCCTGGCTTAGGGCAGAGACTGGCGGCGGACTCTCATCAACACCGCAACAAATCTTCGCGTTACATGTAAGGTTGTGGATTTCTCGGACTCATTTAGGCTCACATCTAGTTGCGACTTGATATAATAAAATATACTTGCAATTAAAGGGACAGATATTCCTTTCTGTTAATTACTGGTAGGCCTGTAATCAGTAATTTGTATAAACGTCGGTTCGATGTTCTTGTGAGCTGTCAATTCAAGCCAATTTAACATCAGAGTAATAACTACAGTAATGTTTAATGTATGGAGCTGTACGTTAAACTCCGAACTCCGCTAATTACAGTAAAACCACTCTCTTTAATTAAATAGCATTCCGATGTTACTTTACTACGACTTATGGCTTCAACTTAACTTCCGACAACACGTTTTGGTTTAGGTTCTTTCGACAGCGATCTTCCATCATTTGCTGTGAAATGCATTAACCAGCATGAGAAAGTAGCTTACTAGCAAACGCGGACCAAGACATCTGAATAAATTACCCTGACCTCTACAACAAACACTCCACTCCAGAACTCAACCGCAACAAAATATGGCGATCGGCAACCCCCAGGGTTTCTCTGGCCTTGTAATCCTGGGGTCTCGGGTTCGATTCCCGGCGGTGCCCGAATTTATAACTTGTGTTGGGCAAGGCCGTGGTCTAGGCAACACGGAGTTTTCCTCCGTGGCATCCCAACAATTACCCCATTCACACACAGAAGAAGGCAATGGCAAACCACTTCTCGATCATCTGCCAAGAACTTATATGAACAGGTCCCAGTCCGAGAAAAGGATCGAAGGATCCTGTTCATATGGACCTGACCTGTCGTCA